CCGCCGTCCCAGTACCACTTCTTTGAGCCGCATTCCACGCAGCGCTCCCCCTTGGGAAACTTGTGAAATTCCCGTGTGTCCTCTGCGTCCATCTCGTGTTCAAGATCTGGCTGCACTCACAATTGTGCTTCAACGCAAAACTTGACTGAAATCTGCTCGTGCCTGCGCGCCCGGGATCAACTGCAGTGCTCCATCGAACGTCGGCCTTTTTCCTATCTATGCATCATTCTCAAGAAAATGAGATTAGACTTGATGCGCCGCGGCGAAAGGTGGTGCCTTCGAACGCTGTTACTTGTTGTTGTCGTTATCTTGAGATGGCAGGTGGAGAAATCTAGTGCAGGCCCGTTCAAATCATCAGTACCGCAGCATCTTAAAACTGGACGAACCATAACCCATTGACTAACCTTTCATTCCAAGTCAATGTCTACAACGCAAAGAAGAAAGAAGATGCATCGATTCTTAATATTTCTGACGAGGCGTCCAGGATTACATGCAGGCACATCTCAACAATCGAATGGATTTCAACTGGTTTTTGTCACGGAGAAACTATTTGGATTGTTTGGAAAAGATCGGTCGCCACCGCAAGCTGCTGCTTAATTTGTGTCGCCTTCCCAGAGCTGGCTGATCGTGAAGAATACGAAAGGCTGACGGGAACAAAGGAAAATGAAGTCATGCGGTGGCGCTTTGCAGTTGCCGAGTCCATGTCACCGGCATCATCAGTTCCTGTCCAGAGATCCCTTCTACGCAAGAACCCGTGGGTAATTCCGTGGGTATTCGGTGGACCAAGAAACACCGGACTACGTCCTCAGGTCACCAATCCTGCCGGCCAGCGCAAGACAACATGTTCATAATGCGCTGACCTGTCCACACCGTCATAGTAATGCATACGCTTACTGGCGGGGAGCCTCCTTGGCCTCGATGGCGCACTGCTCACCCATGGCAGTGAGGATAATGACGTCTGGATACCTTGTCAATCTCCTGTGTTCTATTCACCGAAAAGGACATGGGAAGAGCTTACTGGTGTCCTTCTCCTCCTCCTGGAAGAGCTTCCTGATCTTGTCACCAATCTCGCCGTCGGGCATGCGGACATCGTCCTTCATGTCGCCATCATCGGCCATGAGGGAGAGGAAGTCGTCGTCGGAGATGTCAAGCTGAGGCGAGTGGTATTAGTCATGCGATGTGGCCGACCGGTTTTTATGAACGGCAAACTTACAAGCTGGTACTCGCGACGGGTGACGTTGGGGACGTCCATGTTGTGGGTGGAGGGGGAGAGATCCTCGAGCTTCTTGCCGGTGAAGATGTCGGTAGCGACAAGGTGGACCTTGGCGTGACCGTGCTTGCCGGTCTTGGAGGTCGACATGTCGATGATCTTGCAAGGGCGGCCCTTGATGACGACGAAACCGTTCTTGCGCAGAGCAGAGCACTGCATGGGGTAGGTGGTCGAGGCACCGGCATCGACGGTGTCGAACTCGAGCTCGTGCTACACAAGACGGGACAAGATTAGCGACTGGGTTTGCGTTGAGCTGAGGCCTCAGTCTGGGAGGCCGAAGGAGAGCCACGGAGGACAGGCAGATGCAGCATGCCCCGGCGCACGAGTGGTCCCGCGACGCGACCATGGCAGTTTTTTCCCATCCATGCTTCAACCAGTGCGCCAGAGTGCAAACGGGATCGAGCGAGCGATGATTTGCGGCGGTGTTGTGGTTGTGTCGATGGGTCGCGGGGTTCTTCTCAATGCGGGGTGGGATTCGGTCCAAGCCCACGGCAGCACGCGCGCAAGACAACACAGGGCACAGTGACTTGTCGGCCCACGAAGAGGGGAAGGGAGGGGTAGTACTCACAGCAGCGTCGTCGGCCATTTTGAAGGATTGACTTGGGGGTTGTCTAGAAAAAAAGAGAGGGAGGAATGCGACGAAATTCGACGGCGGTAATGGAGCTCGGGTGGTGTCCTGGGGGATTTGAGGATGAAGAAGGGAAGAAGATGCGAGTGGAGGGGGATCGAGGGGAAAGGAAGTCACTGCGGGAGAATATAATTTTTTTCCCTGAATTTGTTATTGGGCTCTGCTTGCCTCTACGACGGGCCACACACACACAGGCTATCCTCCCCAGGGCCCCCTTCCTCTTCGCCCACCCGGCCAGGCCTAGACCTGGAATGGGACGACAGGCTGTGCGGATCCCAAACAGTTGCCCCTCCGAAGCCTCTCTCGTGCGGTTTGCCGCCGATGGCACTGAGGTACCGCACGAACAAGCAGCGACCCCGCCCCATCACCTGTCCTTCAGGGTGGGTGATTCATACGGCCCGTAGACGGATTTGTACCGCAGCCTTTGAGCAACGTGGGGCGGAATTCAAGCTCCAGCTTCGTCCTTCACTCGCACCCATCGGCAACAAAAGGCTTCAAAGCCAAAAGGTCCAACTCACTCGGGGTGGGATGCTGAATGAGGAAAAGGAGAAGCTCCCCAGTCGGCGTGTTCTGGCCGGCAAAGAAGCCGAGTTGATGTGTAGCAATGTGCTTGACCGTTAGGAAGCGTGTCTGTCTTGCCAGCTGGCACCCCAGTCGCTCAGATTCAACGTGGTCTTACCCTTTCACCCTGCCGCCATCACCACACGAAGCGTGAACGAGTGAGTGGTGCTACAGGCGGTGCAAGGTGCGAGTGTTCAGTTTGGTCTTGGTCTGGCCCCATCAACCCCACCTTCCCAAATGAAGCTTGTACGACCATTGACAGACTGCACCGCGCCACACCTCGAGTCGGTGGAGAGGGCCCGTGCCATTCTGCTGATCTTCCCACTGTGGCTTGCAGCATGGCAGGCCAATCAGAAAGGGTTGCCTCCAGAGGCCAGTCAGCCTTGCCGAGCTCCAGCTTGTATGGGACCTGCCTTACTATCCGACACGTACAGCTCAGCCAGCCCAGTTGAAGGTCGATAACGATACCGAAGCCTGCCGACCTCGAGATGCCCTTGTGTTGCTCTTTATAGGCTCGCCCCTGCTGCCCACAGCTGTTGTTACACCTCAGTAGCAAGCACACCCACAAGGCCACAATGTGGCTAGATCGGCTCTCGGTCGCTGGTCAGACAAGCCCATCGCCATCATCATCGCAACCTGCGAGCCGACCCTACTCTCCTCTTCCGAGGAGGACATCCAGCGCATACAGCCCCTATGTTACATCGCATCGTCCAGGAAATACTCCCCGCGGATCGAGCCTGTCCCTAGTCTCCAATGACTCATCGGCCTCTCTGTTGGCATCTTCACGCAAAACGAATGGCTCCGGCCTGAAACAATCCCAAACGGCATACGATGGTCCCAATGCGATTGACATCTTGAACAGGGTCCTGGGTGCTACAGAAGCCGATGGGTCATCCAAGACCGCGGCCTCATCGACGAGCATCTCTCTCGACGACCTCGATTTTGAACCTGACTTTGCAGGCTTGTCGTTGCGCGACTTGGCTGTCGCCAATGTTGATGAAGCTAGACTTGGTCGCGGCGGGCCGCCACGCCGCCAGACGGTCGAAGAGTGTATGCGCGCAGCCTAGATCCTGCGATCTCAACCAAAATATTCACGACTAACGTGTGGGCTACAGATGAGAAGGAGAAGGCGAAATACGAAGATCTGCACCGCTCCATAGCAGCTTGCGATGGCGTGCTAGACTCGGTGGAATCCAACCTCACGAACTTCCGAAACGACCTTGCCACCGTCGCTGCTGATATCGAATCTTTGCAATCACGATCGTCAACCCTCACCGTTCGGTTGGAGAACCGGAAGGCGGTAGAAAAGGCACTAGGGCCCGTCGTCGAGGAACTGAGTGTCTCGCCAGTCGTCGTGTCCAAGATCTCCGAGGGCCATATTGACGAGACATGGATCAAGATGTTGGCCGAACTTGACAAGAGAGCAACGTCTTACAAGAACAATGCGTCAAGCCCGCGGCAAAGCAAAGCGTGGGCAGATATGGGGCCGTTGTTGGAGAACCTCATTCTCAAGGCTGTCGAGAGAATCCGAGATTTCATCGTCGCCCAGATCAAGGCTCTAAGGTCGCCTCACATCAACGCACAGATAATCCAACAACAGAACTTCATCAAGTTTAAGGAGCTCTATGCCTTCTTGTATCGACACCATGCTAAGCTGGCCGAGGAGATTTGCCAGGCTTACATGAACACTATGAGGTGGTACTACCTCAACCACTTCACACACTACCAAAAAGCCTTGGAAAAGTTGAAGTTGCATGTACTAGACAAGGCCGACGTGTTGGGACAGGAGACTCCGACACGTCAAGCCTCAGTCCTGTCAGGGTCCAAGCCAAGCGGCCCACCACATGACGCCTTCAATCTGGGCCGTCGGATCGACCTTTTGACGACAAGCAATCAGACGGCCGTCTCTTCTTACCTTGCTGAAGAGGACGCCGCTACACACTATCTCGAAATACCGTTCCGGAATTTCAACCTAGCGCTCATCGACAATGCCACGGCTGAGTATAGCTTCTTGGCAACCTTTTTCTACCCAGCATTGTCCATGGCCACCGTGTCCAAGCACTTCAAATACATATTCGACCCGACGTTCGCCCTCGGCCAGGCATACTCTCGAACCCTCGCAGGCGAGACGTTCGACGCGCTGGGCCTCCTCCTCAGCATTCGAATCAACCAGCATCTTGCGTTCCAGCTACAACGCCGCAAAGTGCCCACAGTGGACGGCTACATTAACGGCACCAACATGCTCCTCTGGCCCCGTCTGCAAGTCGTTATGGACCACCACTGCGAATCGGTCCGCCATCTGACAGGCTCCCTCCCCGCCCGAGCCGCCCGTGCTAGCGAGCAAGCCAAGCTTTCGGCAGCCCCTCATCTTATCACGCAGCGTTTTGGCCAGCTTCTTCACGGCATTCTTTCCCTCAGTACCGAGGCTGGAGACGATGAGCCTGTCGTCTCGAGCCTCAACCGGCTGCGCTCAGAGCTGGAGGCATTCCTGACCAAGCACAGCCAGGCATTCGGCACTGACAAGCGCAAGCGCGAGAGGTTCCTGTACAATAACTACTCGCTGGTTCTGACCATCATCAGCGACGTCAGCGGCAAGCTAGCGGTGGAGCAACAGGAGCACTTTGAAGGTTTGAAGGCTGCGTTCCAGGAGGGCGCGTAATATGGTAGTGCTCGGCCTAGTACGGCTTGGCAGCAGTTGTTGTTGATGTTGTTTATAAATGAGGCGATGGCGTTCTGGATTCGACGGCATGGAGCAAGGGTATCGAGTCCCACGCGGTTCTTGGGGACGAGCTCTTCTCAGCATGGTGGCCACGTACGTATGCATGAGTTTCCTAGGGAAGGAGCATGCGGGCACTCGAGCCATACGAAACATGAAAAACCCTTGATGTAAATCACACGCTGAAAAAAATGGATCTCATGTTGTTCATTTCATTCTTTTCCTTTTCCCTGTTTCATCTTGATGCTAAAATTTGTACGTCCAAGTCGTGCCGTTCGTCCACCGCGTGACGAAGGTCCCAATGACGCCCAGCGGTCCGCTCCCGGCCGTCGCCCTCCGCAGATAAAACGCCGCGAGACCGACCAGTACCGCGACACTCACGGCGCCGGCGCCGCGGCGAATAGGCCCACAGCGTGGCGAGGATCTTCTTCCTGCGCTCGGCGGCCCGCAGCTCCTCCAGCTGGCGGTGGAACAAAGGCCTCGCCATCCTGCATCGTTTTGGCGGGTGCACGCGTCGAGGTCGCGCGCCGTCTTTGAGGCAGCTCGCCTCCGATATGCGGCGGCGCCACGCCGGGAGGGAGCGCGCTGGGTGGGCGGCGAATAGGGCGGACGTGTCGGCGATGAGGCCGCTCGAGTTCCATTGTGCTGGGGGCACTTTGGAGAGGGCGAGATGGAGGAGCCGCCGGGTCGTTGTCCGGGTCCTGGGCGAGCTCGAGAAGTTCGTCGCGGCGCGACAGGACGATGCTGGCGAACATTGTAGACGCTGAAAGACGGGCTCGCGGGGCGAGGAAGGACGGTCAAAGGAGGCGGGCGATGTCACCGGTAGGCCTGGGATGTCGTGTGCGTACATTGTGAGGGTGCCGGGCGAGGGGCGTAAGAAGGGCTCCGTGCCGGCGAGTTAGTGGTTTGAGGGAAGGGGTCGCGGCCGGCGAGAATGTCGGGGATCAGCGGAGCGTGGTCGACGGTCGGGTCGGAGGCTTCGTCAGCATGAAGTCCGCGGAATGCGGAGGGCGGAGAGGCGCGCAAGCGAAGGGGCGCGTAGTGGCGCCGAGAGGACGAGCAGGAAGACTTGACAGATGTCGTGATAGCCTTGGAAGTAGCAGAGGTATGGATAGCGGCGAAGGACTTCGGTGATGAGGTCGGAAAGCTCTCGTTTGCGGCGATCGAGTTCAGCTTCTGTCTGGTCTATGGTGCCCTTGTCGTCAGCACACCGTCAACATCAATCGGGTGGACGACAGACTATTGGGATAGTAAATGAATGATCGATTAACGTCCAGCTGGACCTGGTCCTCGTCTCTGTGCCGTGGCAGCTCTTTCCAATCACCGCCCGTCTGGGGTTTTTCTGTATCGTCGAGGTCATCCTTCTCGAAAGGCACTCCTAAAAGGACCGGCCCTGTCCGACAGCTTTGTTAGCGCAAAGGAGCCGATGACAGATGACAACGTCTTGACAGCCGACTAACATGCTTGCCTTCGGAGATCATCGGTCATGAAGCCGCAATCCGTGGCAGCCAGCGCCTGGAGAGCTGCCGTGTTCCTCCACTTGCAGGCTTCCAGAATGTCGCGAGCTTTCTGGGAGGTGACGTTGTTCCGGCCATCGTCGTTCACAGGCTCAGACACCTGGCCGTTCGTAGAAATCATGTTGAACGTTGGTCTCGGGCAGACACGTAGATCATTCAGTGAGTGATCAGGTGTCGGAATCGGTCTTTACTTTCAAGAAACGCATGCTGCTATGCTTCGTCGCCAAGGTCTCTACGGTTTTCTGAGAACAAGCAAACGAATGTTCGCATGAAGGCAAAGCAGTGAAACAGCCTGACAAATGATCAACGGCTTATCAGCTTCGGCTGGAACCTGGCTCCAAGGCGCTGCTAAGATCTCGACCCCTTCAGTGGCCGTTGAGTCGTGATCGTCGGTAGTTGACATGTGGAAGTCATCTGGGACGCGTATAGTGGAGCCAGTGATGCGCAAGCTGCAGCTCCAGTCGTTGGGTGACGTCGTGACAGGCTATGCACAGACCATCCTCTCCCCTGGAGTGTTGAAGACTGCCTATACTTGCATGCATACTGTACCAGAGACGCACGCCGTCGAGATATCTTCACGCGAGGTATTGAGTGGTCGATACTTTCGAAGGCACTTATCAACAAACTGGCGAGAACAGAAAGGAATTGGGTATCAGTATTCAGGCCAGCGCTCTACTTCATTTGTGGGATCCGAGAGCTTTGAGAATCCGTGTAATTCCCACTCAGACGCATATTCCAACTTGTTCCTCCAGCGAGCTCCCGAATCATGGACTTCTTGAAGTCTCATGGTCGACTTGGGAGGCGTCTTCGCCTGATCTGGCTTCACCAGGGGCTCTGGGGGTGATTTTCGCACCAGCGCCCACATGGCTTTCTCTTCTTCGTAGTTACCCTGCGCATCGATAGCCTCGGCATGTTTTTCCTGCGCGCGGTCCAGACGCACACGCATTTCCACAGCCTCCTGTGTGCGATGCGTCTTGGGAAGCGCATTGACAGTGTACAGCAAGGCCTCGTTGACTTCGTCATGGACGGCGAGCTCTTCATCTCCGTCCTCCAAGGTAGCCTCGTCCTCATCGTCAGACGACGGCAATGACGAGGTGTCTTGTTCTGCGTCCTCTCCACTGGCAGACGATGTGTCTGAGAGTTCGAAATCGATAGTGTGCGCATTGGTCATCTTCCACGGCTTGACCACCCGCGGCTCAAACTGCGCAGGTTGTTCGGCACAAGGGAGCAGCAGTTCTTTCTCTACTTCAGCATAGGACATGGGCGGCTCATCATCGTCGGCGCCGAGGCCGGCGCCGTCCTCGAAAGGCGTGTCGTGTACCTGGAGTCCCAGGCGCCGCGCGCAGGTTGCCCAGTATCGCCTCGAGTCTCGCTTCATGCCCGCAGAGGCCAGCGCGCCTTCCACGTCCTTGACCTTGACGGCTTTTCGTATGTTTGGATGAATGGCCTGCTTCGCCTTGATCCGTGACTGTGCCGTGTACAGACTAGACAAGATGAGCTTGCGAGTGACGGCGATGGTGAGCGCATGAAAGTCCTTCAGTGCAGTAGCGCGTATGGCTGGCGCCTCATCACTCAAGTCCTGCCAGTTCTCGCCCTCGCAAGAAGAGTTCATGTACACGCGCTTGGGGAGCCGCAGCCAAGACTGGAGGTTGAAGAGCTCGGCGAAATCCAGCGGATGCTCCAAGGCACTGTCCTCGTCGATGAGTTTCGCGATGGGAGTGGTAATGAGCCAGTAGCCCCCCCATTTCTTCTCCTCGGTCTTTTGCTCGTGTCGCTCGATGCGAAGCAACATGTCATCAGCGACTTCCTCGAGTGCATCGCAACAGGCCTCGCCCAGTTCCTTGGCCGCCGGATAATCCGCCTTCTGGAGATGATCCTCCCACCGATAATGGGGATCTGACTGCATCTGCTCATGCTGGTCCTCTACTAGCTTGAGGTATTGTCGGATCTCGAGTTCGCTCTTGGTGCGCACTCGAGATGCAATGCCCGATAGGTCGTCCTTTCCCACTCTCGCCAACGCCTCATAGAAGAGATCCTTCTCCAAGCTTGTCCAAGTAAGCATGCCCACCTGCTTCGGTTTGAGCAGTGGCCGTTTCTCGAGAACAACCTGATTCGCGGCATCCTCAATGTCGATGTTCAGCAGATCCATGTAGGCGTGGTTGAAGCTAGGTTTGTAGCGCTTGGAAGGCTGCTGCTCGTTGGAAGGCTCTGCAGACCTTTTGAGAGGGCTGCTGCCATCGCGAACCGTCCCAGAACCGTCGCCATGGGGATTTACGCGTGGCTTCGGCGACGACAGGGACTCTGGTCCTGAAGGCTGGTCTGAAGCTTCACCTGCCGGTGCTGCACCATTTCCACTGAGGCTGGGGCTAGAGGCAAAGTCGGATTCCATTCTGGCGCATGTCTGTGTCTTTGGCGTTGACGGAGGGCAGGACGTGGTCAGTCGCAAATAGATTGAGCGACAGGCCTTCGATGCGTGTACTGGCGTTGAGACGAGCCAGGCAAGAAGTTGTGCTTTGCGAATGCCCGCCGACTGTTGTCGTAATTGCTCTTCCTCATTAGGCACTTTTCGCAAAGCCGGGTCGCTGAGGCATGAACGTTGCCTGGGCTCGGTGAGATGGCACTAGAATGGTCTCTAGGCACCTTAACGTAGCGGTTGTCAAATTCGCTCTACAGCGTGCTGCGGCCGGCACAGCACCTGTACCTTCCGGCACGTTGGCGCTGTTTCGCTTCCTGAGGCACTACCATGTGCTCACCATGTTCCTGATGCGATGGCAGCGTCGAGACCAACCTGGAACGTCACTCTTCCTTCCCCTTGTAAATCATAACCATAATCACCCTCTTGGCTGTTTCGCGGATTCCATGAGAGGCCATCACAATGAGCCATGATCCCACATGTTTTTGCCCGGCTATCAACGCCTTCAGCTGTGACACGCATTCCGAGAACCGTTGTCCGCTCAATCCCTAGATGCGCCCCCTTTCTTCAGGCCCGCCCTGTTCGATGGCTGAGCTCCAAAGTACAGCTTCGTGACTATCAAGAAGAATGCATTCAGTCGATTCTTCATTCTTTGCACGAAGGGCAGAAGAGGCTTGGTGTCTCCCTCCCACCGGCAGTGGAA